TAAAATGCTTGTAAAATGATTGGTAAGGATCATGTACCTTATCATGGCGTTAAAAAGAATTTATGCCAGTCTTGTGTTACTTTACGTGCAAAATGTATAATATCACCTCCTAATATATCTTTATTGGTTCATTGGTTTAGTTACTGACTAGACATCAACACAGTAAAATGGTATTCTATATACATGTATATAGCACTTCCCATGTCGTTATGAAACATATTTCTACATAGGGCATATTGCTTGAATTTTACTATCTCGTGAAGAGATATTCACAAGGTGGCATGGGACAGGTGGCTGGTAGATAGTTTTTCATATTCTTTATTTACACATATCAGCCCTTTATCAGGGATAAGACCTTATAATGTTCTCAGTGACAATAACAAAAGTCTGTCTGTGTAACAAGAAAAATAAATGCACCTGGTAGAGTTAATCATATCTGTTTGCTATGGTGACACTTTATACTAATTTGTCACTGCATGGCATTCTTTTAAAATAACACACATCATAATTTTTCAGAACTTTTCTAACACACTATAGACAAACTGGAACAGTGCCCCGAACACACCCCGCAAAATGATGTCAGAACTAAAGAAGCCCTTTTGTGTCATGCCATCTTAGTTTAGGATTAAATTACTGTTGTTTTTGTAATGAAATAATAAAGATGAAGCATATTTGTCCCACTTTAACCTGCATTCACCCTTTAAATTGTTTTAATAACAACAATAGTAACTGATTGCATGTGCAATATAATGATTTTTGCCCGCTCTTCTCGATTTTAGATAAGACTGTGCAACCACTACAAATTCTGAATTAAAGGCCAGTCTAGCATTGTGAAGATGCCAAAGCCAGCAGAAGGAACAGGCGGTAAGTTAAAATCATGACAATCATGGTATGCCAAATGACAAAATTCTTAAATCCATCTGAATAATTTATTTTAGAGTTGCTTTGTTCCATCACCCATGACCTTATTCTTAATCGAGCAGTTAGTAGATGTGAGGATCAGGAAGTGTTCATGATCAAGGCTGTGATTAAACATCGCCATCATGTGGTCAACAACAAATCCACAGCTTCAAACTCTGAAGATCATGAGACATAAATACTCCATTTCATATTTGATGGCCATGTTCCTGTATAGTTTCAGGAAAACATATTCCATTGTTTTACAGAACTGAACATCATGGAATGATACGTTTTTGAATACACTGTTTTGATATTTCAGTGGCAATTAGGAAGAGATCCAGAGTGCCTGGTGTTATGGTCACACAATACGTTGAAGAACTGCCTCCTGGATCTACTACTCCTGATTTCATCCGAAAACCCATAGCCTTAACTATACAGGAAGGTAATAGTTTTCTTACTTTTTTTTACATATGGCTCATTTGAATCATAGAATTTCAGCAATATAAATTCATTTAAATGGAAAAACATCCATCTGTCCTCGATCATAATATTTAACATCACAACTAACTATTCTGTTTAATCTTCAGGTAAACTGGCCTTTTTCAAAGCTGTTGTGAGTGGATATCCAGTACCAGATGTTTCATGGGCACGTAACAAGGGAGATATCTCTAATTCAACAAAATATGTTTCAAGATTTGATGAGAAGAATGAACAATATATTCTGGAGGTGAATGAAATTTTCAACTGTGTGAAGAACCATGTTATCAGCCGTTTAATTTTCATTCTACGTGTTTAAACAATATTAAAAAATAATAATAAATACTTTTTTTT